GAATATCTTTTAAGAATCAATGATAATCCATCAAAATTTATAAAATCTCAGAATTTTCAAAATCTACAAAATCCACATAAATTCATCTACGAATAAGGGCCCCTTATTCTAGAATCTGGATTCATCAGATACTCTGACAGAATTGGAATTATACCAAGACCAGGTTTTTTAAAAAGTTACTCAATTTCTAAACCAATGGTTTCTCGGCTTGCTTTATTTGGAATCTCACGAGTTTGGTCAAGATTAAACGTATTTGTGGTGACCAGGAGACCTTTATGATGATCTATAAACTTCTCCAAAAGACCTACAATGCTCTAGCACTCAGAGGATTAGGCGAATCCTCCTGCATCTCAACTTACCTTATTTGGACGTGTTCAGACATGGGATATAAAAACACCAACGGCTTCTTTCCTGTTAAAGCTGCTGCGTTTTGAGGCATGGTACAATGCACCTAGACGTCCTAATACACCACTCTTTCACACCCAAGCTGTCGAGAATCAAGAGAAGCTTCATTTACCAAATATGGCCAAACGCCCAATTAAGTGCAACGACTCTTTGTCTTTATTTTTGCGATTCTTTTTTTCATTTCTTGTTTTATACCATTTCCTCTGAGCACTCACTATATAAGCTCAAGCTCGTCACTCTTGTAAAGAAACCTTGATCATAGTTTAATACAAAATATTACGTTTTCTTCAAATACCGAGTCTCTTTGTGTTGTTCTTGTCTTTACGTTTTAAGTGTCCGAGACACTTCTAAATCTATAAATTCACGGATTTAAGATTTTTGTGTGATTCAAACAACCTTGATTCACCATGTTTGAGAGAGTCAGTCGCTTCCACACCGTTCCATCTCTACCTTCACTCCACCATCCGCGTGATAAGCTTGGAATCTCTTGAGCCTTGAGTGATCATAAGTTAGAGTGAATACAATCTTATATCATAATCTATCCCCACATATATGAAATAATCAAGGATATTAAATCTCCAATCTCTCTTATACCCCGTCTAGATTGAATTGACACAAATCAGCTCCATAGCCATTGAAAATTGTATTTTCAATAGCTTAGATAGCTGCCAGAGATCC